CAGACTCGAAGCTTAACATTAAATCTCTATTAGGCAATTCGCATAACAGTCCATGCATTCAAGTCCATCTGAATACATAACAGAAAGGACCGCCTGAGAGACCGCCTTTCCCCGTATGTTCCCCCGAGAGCACTGTTATCCGGGACACAAAACCGCCTGGTCCCCCCTGGCCCTAGTGATGCTAAGTTAACAGGAACAAGAACCAGGGCGTTCTCCCTAGCTGCACCAACGCTATGGAACGAGGTCCCAACTGAAATTCGAGCTCTGTGGGATCTGTTCCGACAAGCGTTCTAACAGCCCTGGCCACACTGGCCGTTCCACATAAGCACTAGCACTTTATACGGATGGCCGCCAAATCTCAATAGGTTGTATTTATTGTAACGTTTTATGGTTTTATGGTATGGTATTGTATTAGTTGTGATAACTGGTTTTAATTGTATACTGGTATTAATTATTTGTAAGCCGCCCTGAGCCACCTTGGCGGGAGGGCGGGGTAAATGTTTGATAAATAAATAAATAAGGAGTTCGTCAGCCGCTCTGAGACTCCTTCAGGTAGTGAAGGGCGGGGTCTAAATCCAATCTCTTCTTCTTCCTGTCGCTATCCACTCCATGGTACTTTGTACTAGGCTTGCCAACCTCCAGGTGCGGCCTGGAGACCTCCGGGGACTACAATTGATCTCCAGACGACAGATCAGTTCCCTTGGAGAAAATGGCCACTTCAGAAGGTGGCCTTATACCCCATTGAAGCCCCTCCCGTCCCCAAATCCCACCCTCATCAAGCTCCACCCCCAAAATCTCAAGGTATCTCCCAATCTGGAGCTGACATCACATAATATACCCTGGGCTGGATCCAGTGGTACATTCCCATTAACAGAGTGGAGGGGAAGATTCGCACTGATTTCAGCCTCCTGCTGCAAAACCTCTGACTCTCCCTTAGGCTTGCCACCAGGGGTCATTTTGTAGAAAAAGAGGTGCAGGAGCTCATTAGGGGTGGGGGGGGGGTGCGCCAGAAGGGATCCTCGCCTAGGGTGCAAAATAAGCTGGGGCCGGCCCTGTTCCCAACCCAGAGCTGGCGACCCTCTTTTGTACCTGACTTGAAAGCTCTGATATCCTCCTGGAGCTCAGGTTTGGCCTCTTGCACAAAGGCCCGATGCCCACCCTGGTGCTCAGACTCGATAAAGGGGCACTGAGTGGTGGGGAGAGGCACAGAGCCTGGAGAGAGAGAGAGAGAGAATGAATGAATGAATGAATGAATGAATGAATGAATGAATCCAGGGTTCTTGTCACGCAGCCTGTAAAATCAACATCGCTAACACTTTATGATACTGAACTGTTTTCTAATGAACTCTTTTTAGATGATTTCATGATAACTTAATTGTTATTTATGTATTTACTTTTATGTAAGCCTCCCGGAAGGAGCTGCGCCTCAACTGAAAAGTCCCAGACTCCTCAGCCTTTCCTCATAGGGAAGGGGCTCCAACCCCCTCACCATCTCAGTTGTCCTCCTCTGTACTTTTTAAAGATCGGCGGTGTCCTTTTGGAGATACGGTGACCAGAACTGTACACAGTAATCCAAATGAGGCCGCACCAGAGGTCTATTACAATATCGGCCCATTTTATTTTCAATCCCTTTCCCAGTGATTCCCGAACACAGAGTTTGCCTTTTTCACTGCTGTAGCAGACTGGGTTGACTTACAGAACTAATGAGCTTGAACTTCACAGCTCTTTAAAAAAACAACGACACCCACACCACTGCGCCCATGGGCTTTGTACAGGGCTCTTTTTGTAGAAAAAGCAGGGTGGGGTATAAATCGAAGAAATAAATAATAAACCCCCCCTTAATAATCTACCCCTTTAGCAGGGGTCAAAAGGGATGTTAAAACAGCCCTGGAGTATATAAGAACATAAGAAGAGCCCTGCTGGATAAGACCAAAGTCTCATCTAGTCCAGCATCCCAACAACAGGCCACAAGGGCCAAGGCCTTCCTCTAATGTTGGAAGTGGTACCTATTTATCTACTTGCAATTTCTTGCTTTCGAACTGCTAGGTTGGCAGGAGCTGGAACTAGAGATGGGAGCTCACTCCGTCATGCGGCACCCGGGTCTCGAACTGCTGAACTACCGACCTTCCACAGCCTGCAGTTCAGCGTCTTAACCACTTGAGCCACCACAGCTCTGAACAAATATGACACACACGTTTTTATTGAAAAATTTGCTTTTTTAAATTAACATTAAATTAGACTGTGTGAAAGAGCCGCATGCGGCTCCCGAGCTGCAGTTTGGCCAGCCCTGCGCTAGACTCTTTTCTTTTCCATAAAGGACTAACACAGCTACCCCACTGGAACTACCATTTTTCTTTTTTAGATATATCTTTTTTTTTTAGAAAGTAAAGATGTGAAGGGGATACAGAAATGAAAAAGGGGTTGCATATCACAATTATATATATTGAAAAATAATTACGTAACACAGGGTGTATGAAACAAAAAGCATTTCTCCCCTATACCCCCCTTCATTATAATTTTCAAAACACTATCTATAAAATACAATAATGCTTCTGTTGGGAGTATATTTATATTCAACATTTTGGATTTCAAACTCCATAACTAATCTGATTTACATCTATATTATTGATTTCATCTTTACTACATATTTGGTATTATATATTTTTGCCAACTCTACCTTTCAACAATACTATACAACATGGGAGTTAAACATGCGGCCCGGGGGCCAGATGAGGCCCCCGGAGGGCTTCTATCAGGCCTGCAGTGGAACTGGCTGTCTTCTGCTTCTTCCAGTTCTGCTGCTGCTGCGTCATCGTAGGTTTGCAGCTTACAGATACACACCTGAACAGCATACTCAAGATTGCAACAGCACAGACATTTTGATGCAATAATTCAGAGCAAGAGGTGTCAAGTTATCAGACACTGTTAAATAAGCAAAATATTGCAAGAGTTCTAATGTTTTAAGCATGTTTTTATTCTAAGTAAAAAAAAAAACCCTTTGTGTTTGTGTCCTTTATAAAGTTTATATCTCCGCTACCTGGCATTACATTTTATGACACACACGGCCTGGGCCCGACAAGGTCTCATTTATGTCAGATCCGGCCCTCGTAACAAATGAGTTTGACACCCCTGCTATAGGACTACTATTGTGAGGGGGACATCTCTCGGACCCACCCTTGGTCTCACCGTTCTCCCCGCGGGGCGCTTTCCCACGTTGCCGATCCGAAGCAGAGCAGGAGAAGGTGCGTGCCACCATCACTGGGCAGCGCTGAGCACTGGCCACCAGCAAAGGGCGAACTTTGCGGAGGAAGACGGTCGGGTCCCGGCTCACGAAGGGGCAGTGCTGGAGAAGGGAGGCCATCGTGCCACTTTTGCTACCCGGAGAAAGAGAGAAGAAGAGAGCCAGGAGAGCATCATTATACACTGGTTGGGATCAGGGATCAGCACTGAAGCGGGGGCAAGGCCCCTCCGCCACAGAGCCTTTTGTTGTTGTTGTTCAGTCGCACAGTCGAGTCCGACTCTTCGCGAACCCCTGGACCACATCACGCCAGGCCTTCCGGTCTTCCGTCGTGCTCCAGAGTTTGCTCAACTTCATGTCCGTTGCATCGATGACACTGTCTAACCATCTCGTCCTTTGCCGTCCCCATCTTCTTTGACCTTCGATCTTTCCCAGCATCAGGGTTAGGGTTAGCACTCCAGTGAGTGCTCCCTTCTCCTTTGGTGGCCAAAGTATTTGAGCTTCAGTTTCATTATCTAGGGATGCCCATCTGGCCAGGAAAGACAGAATTCTTATTTTTCGAGGCTTCAGTGCCCCGTTCCCCATCCCAAGCTCACAGGCTGCTGAGACATGCATTTATGAACCCCACCCCACCCCGCTTCAAGGAGCTCAGGACCACACACATAGTTCTCGTGTTATTTTGTCCTCAGAGCAACCCTGCGAGGTAGAAAAGGCTAGATCTGAGTCCAGTAGCATTTTAGAGGCCAATAAGAGTTTTGGGTCTGTGAACTGTCAAGACTCAAGAGTTCCCTAATTGTTAGATAGCTGTGAGGTAGGTTGGGCTGAGGGAGAATGACAGCACTCCCAAGTCACCCGGCCAACTCTGCGGGCGGAGTCAGGCTTTTCCTTTGACTCTGTAACGCAAAGGTCCAGGCTTTTCCTTTGACTCTGTAACGCAAAGGTCCCCAACGTGGCGCCCACTGACCCCTTTTCTGTCACCCGCCAAGCAGGCTCGTAGCCAGGATTTTTTAAGTCAGGGGGCATTTAGATTTCTCCTTCCCTGCACCTGCCACCGTTCGGAGGCCCTGGGCTGGATGGGAAGTCAGGGGGGCCCTGGCCAGTATGTCAGGGGGCCTAGCCCCAAGATGCCCCACTGTTGCTACGGACCTGCCGCCAAGTGTTCTTAGGAAGTGGGCAGTGTTCCCTCTAAGCTCACACCAGCAGCTGCATGTGGAGGAGCGGGGAATCAAACCCGGTTCTCCCAGATTAGAGTCCGCGCTCCTAACCACGACACCAAACTGGTACGCATAAAGTTTATTCTACTGCATTTATCTATGGCACGGCCATTATGTTAGGCGCTTCCATAAGCGACTCTGAGTGCAAAATCAGAACGGGCACCAGCTGTTTGGGGTTAGCTCCCTCGGGAGTTGCAAGATGCACCTTAAGAGGAATGAACATTTGGAGTGTAGAGATATTTGTGACAGCGAGACGTTCACAGGGAGGGCGTGAGTATCTGTCGGGAGTTGATAAGCTCGGAGTTACCCAGCTCACAAAAGACACACCCTGTCCCAGCTGGGATGATTGCACCAGAGAGCTCAGTAAGGACGGATCTTGGCCCTTAAGGAAGCATGCTGAATAGGGTTGACAGGTCTGGGTTGGGAAATACCTGGAGATGTTGAGAGTGAGGCCTGGGAGGGACAGGATTTGGAGGGGGAGAGGAACTTCAGTAGGGTATAATGCCATGACACTCTTCCCTCCAAGGGGGCTTTCAGAAACACTCAATAACACACTTTTAATCCACTGTCAATGCACTTTGCAACTGGGAAAATCCACTGAATAACACACTTTTAATCCACTTTCAATGCACTTTGCAACTGGGAAAATCCACTTAATAACGCACTTTTAATCCACTGTCAATGCACTTTGCAAGAGAAAACCCACTTGCAAATAGTCGCTGAAGTGGATTGAAACGGCATTATTTAACATGCGTGAAAGCCCACCAAAGCAGCCATTTTCTCCACGGGGACAAATACCTGGAGATCAGTCATCCTTCCAGGAGATTTCCAGAGCCAGTGTTCCCTCTAAACTGAGTTAGTGTGAGCTAGCTGACAGTTTTTCAGCCTCCGGCTCACACATTCTTGTCTTCGCTCAGGAAGGGATGGCTCCAGAGCAAACGAATTTATGCAGCAGCCAAATCGCTCGCTCACCACTTTAATGCCAGTAGCTCACAAGGTAGGGTTTGTGCTCACAAGACTCCACAGCTTAGAGGGAGCAATCCAGACCCCACCTGGACATAGG